GTTGTAACATATTGCAATAGAACATCATAACAATACAACTGGATATTTATCCTTGAAGATTTTATTGAAAAATATGAGATTCCAGAGGTTTCTAATACTCATAAAAGGCGCAGGGAATCAAGGATTGTTAGGAATAATTGCATATTTGATTTATTTCATCAAAAGGATCTTTGAGACTTTTTAGGAATAATTTGAAAGATTTGTTTTTGTTTCTATTTTCGTGAAGAATATTCTACAGGGATTTAGAGCTAAAGATTATATTTGATTGAAGAGTCCAAGCCCAACTGCAGAAGTCTATATAAGGAGTCGTCGACCTAGTTTTTTAAGCATAGTTTTTATTGTAAAACCTTGTCAAAAATAAGGGTTTAGGGTTTGATAATTCCTTATGTTTTATGTGTGTTTGTTTGTATGTCCTCATGTATTTTTTGATGCATTTGAGTTGACTGATTGCTACTTGTTTATCAAGTTAGTGTTCTCCTTGAAGCTTTTAAGTAAGAGCTAAGTATTGTTCTTAGTGAAGCTTTTAAGCAAACTAAGTATTTGTAATTTGGAAGTGTGTTCTTCCTTTTTGGTTTCTTGAGACATTCCCTGGGATTGGGATTGGTCTTTTATCAATGTGGTGATTGAGAGTGAGAGGGGTTCTCATATCTAGGAGGTGCCTAGGTAAAAGTTGCACTGGATATAAATTAAGTGAAAAGTGTAAACTTGAACTGTTTAGCTTCGAATTAATACTACTAATAGCATATTTCCTTCATGGCTTGGTAGCCCCCAAAGTAGGTGAATTTTCACCGAACTGGGTTAACAATTCTTTGTATTCTTTAAGTTTCTATACTTTATCTTCTTGTACAATCTTTCTATTTTTAGCAAGATTGTTTACTGTCATCAGATGTTGTAACATCTATTGTAATATTATGTGTTGTTAAGACATCAATCTTGATATTTATATTGTGTGTGTCAGAATTTTAATTGGCATTAAGAGCAAGCACCCTATTTGGTTCACTGAGTGAGATTCAGGGATATGTTTTCTGGAACTATGGAGAAAGAAAAAGGATACAACAACAAACCACCAGTGTTGGATGGTTCAAACTATGACTGGTGGAAGGTTAGAATGGTAGCTTTTCTGAAGTCCATGGATAGAAAAGCCTAGAAGGATGTTTTGAAAGGATGGGGGAATCCAGTTGTGAAGGACAAAGATGAGAAATAGTATGTAAAACCTGAAGAAGACTGGGATGAAAATTATGATAAAGAAGTTATTGGAAAACCCACGGCTTTAAATGCTTTACTCAATGGAGTAGACAAAAATGTTTTCAGGATGATTAATACATGTACTATAGCCAATGAGGCTTAGGAGATTCTCAAGAAAACTTATGAAGGTACCTTTAAAGTGAAGATTTCAAGAATTCAACTTCTCACTTATAAATTTGAGAACTTGAAGATGAATGATGATGAGATAATTCAGGAATATCAGATGAAGATTCTTGAAATTGCTAGTGCATTAAGTGCCTTGGGAGAGAAGATGTCTGAAGCAAAGCTGGTCAGAAAGATTCTTAGGTCCTTGCCTAGGAGATTTGAAATGAAGGTCACAACTATTAAAGAATCTCAGGACATCAACAACATGATAGTTGATGAACTTATTGGGTCACTTTAAACATTTGAATTGGCTATTGGTGACAAGGCTGAGAAAAAGAACAAAAGCGTAGCTTTTGTATCCAATGTTGAAGATGATAAAGGTCGAGATGATCTGGACACTGATGAGGATATGTTTAATACCATCGTGTTACTTGGGAAGCAATTCAATAGGGTATTAAAAAGATTAGACAAAAGAGGGAAATCAGATGTCAAGAACATCTCATATGACATCAATAATAATTGTGATTCTCAGAAGAAAACAAGATCAGAAGAGAAGTCGAGTCAAAGTAGAGGAATTCAATATTTTGAATGTGAAGGATATGGTCATATTAGACATGAATGTCTCAACTTCCTTAAGAAACAACATAAGGGTTTCATCGCATCTTTGTCTGATGATAATAAATTAGAAGATGAAGATAATCCTGAGACTACCAAACTTGTGTTGGCTCTATCTGGCAGATGAGTATATGAAGTTGGAGCGTGTGATGAGGATGATCTTTATGAATACCTGGATGTGTTTTACAAGGAGAATTGTGATAGATGTGATGAAAGTCCAAGAAAGAGGAAGATCATTGTTGACTTGGAAAATGAGAGGAAGCAACTCTTAAATACTGTTTCTCATCTACAAAGTGAGGTAACCCGTTTAAATTTCAAGCTTGATAATTTGACTGATTCCATAAATATGGTAAAAGAGGATGAAGATGTCAGAGGTTATTATGAATCTGATACTAAACTGAGAAGGATGTTAGAAGAAAAGTTCTTTCCTCCTGAAAGGAAGAAAAAGACTAACATGTCCAAACACATGTTACAATATCCTGAAAAATATGATGAATCTTCAAATCAACCTCAATCTACTTGGAGGTGTCACTAATGTGGTGAGTCTGGTCATATAAATCCTTTTTGCTTCAAATTATATGGAGATAAAAAATCTTCAATTCGTTCCAAGGCTAATAAATTGAGTAAGAAAATAAGTGTTGAAAATAGGGATATTAATCTTATAGCTCATACTTCCTTGAGAGACTCAACTAGTGAAGACTGGTACTTTGAAAGTGGATGCTTTAGACATGTGATAGGGATCCAGAAGATGTTGGTGGATATTAAGCCCCATCCTACAGGTTCTGTTAGATTTGGTGATGGTTTTAACAAAGAAATCAAAGGAGTTAGAAAGCTGATGTGTGATGGATGTCTTAGGTTAGATTTGTGTATTATCGACACACGTATATGCGGTGCATAAACACCCCACAGAGAAACACATGGTCAAACAAACTTATTCTCAAGTAATTCTTCTAACTATTTCTTTAACTTTCCCAACTCTGAAGCTGAAATTCTATAAGGAGCCATCGACACCAGACTTGGATCTGGTACTAACTCTATAGAAAACTCCACCTCATGCTCTAGAGGCAAATCACTGATGTTATCTAGAAACACCTCTGGAAATTCACAGACGACATGTAATTCAACACTTGTAACTTCACGATCAACTTGCAATGACGCAAATATTACAAACATCAAGGTCTTGTCTTCTAAAAGTTCCTCCACTTGCTTAGCAGACAAAAACACCAGCTCTCCATTATCATCAAACTTAGAGAACCTTACAATCTTATTATAACAGCTGATATGAACATAGTTGAACTCTAACCAGTTCATTCTAAGGATAACGTCAATTTGGTGCAAGGGTAGACACACCAAATCTATCATAAAACTCTTACCAAAGATAATTAAAAGACAACTCGAACAAACGAAAGTAGTAGTAACAGAACCCTTCGCAGGAGTGTTTGTCACCATACTACCATTTATAGAAGACAATTTCAATCCCAACATCCTAGCACATTCAAGCAAAATGAACGAATGAATAGCACCAATATCAATAATAGCAATAAACTCAACATTGTTAATAAGACAAGTACCTCGAATCAAGTTATCCTTCTTGGAAACCTCTGAACCACTCAAAATAAACACTCTGCCATTAGTCTGAGTAGCAGTAGCAGGCTTCTTTGGCTTCTGACACTGGGTACTGATGTGACCTTGTTCACCATAATTGTAACAAGTCGGACCGTCATTCTTGCACTCATAAGCACAATGACTTGTCTTACCACATTTGTAAAATCTCAACACCTTATTTCCGCAATTATCAGCACAGTGGCCTTGCTCGTCACACTTAAAACACTTGACCGAAACGACAACTCCTCTCCCACTTGGCTTCTTCTCATTAGAAACTTCCTGCTTCCCTTTGTCAGCAGGAGCACTATACGGCTTACCAAGATTCTGGTTCTTCCATTTCTTCTCATTATAGCTCTTATAAAAGGAAGATTTGACTAGGATATCCTGATCATAGATCCTGCACTTATTCACTAGTACTAGAAACTGGCGAGTCTCCTTATAGTCAATTCTTTGCTTAATTTCAGGACGCAACCCATTCTCAAATTTGATACACTTAGATACCTCAACTGTCGAATTATTATAATTTATATATTACGGATGCTCTGTCCTTCCCAAAAATATAAGAAAAAATAAAATAAAGAAATACTAAAAAAATAAAAACATAATTATTTGACTTCTGATTTTCTTGAAATAAAGTGTTTATGAAAATGTAAAAACAATTCTAAAAATAAAAATATAATTTATATTTAATTTTATCTTTAAAAAATTAAAAATATATTTTTCTCGAATAAGAAAAATACATTTTTTCTTATATTTTAAGACGAAAGAAGTATATATTAAAAGATATTTCTCTATTTTATTTCTTTCTAAACAAATCAAACAAAATGCATGATGTAAATGTTTTTATTCAAAATGAACCAGTTTTAGACCCTATCAAATATTTCAGTGGGAATGGTAGGTGAACTAATTGGAAATTTTTGAGATAAAGGTGAAAAGCGGTTAGAAATCCAGAATTTAAGTCTTCATAAATTTCTGAATATATATAGTATTAGTAATTAATTAACTATTAAATATTCATATCAATATAGGAATTAGAAAATAAAATATGCACGGTTAATTTAAAATAAATTTATATTGATAACCAATCATCAATTATATTTATATTTTAAAACTATTTTAATAAGATGACAAATTGTAATTTTTATTATTAAACAATAAAAAATAAAATTATTGTACACTTTCGTCCATTAAGTTCTTAAAATATTTATTTTAATTATCAATAACAATTTAAAAATGTTTAAAAAACAATTTTAAAATTACTTACTACATATGATAATAAAGTATTTGTTGTGACCCATCCATTCATGAGTATTTTGATAGTGAAATAAAAAATAAAATATTATAAATAATATAGTTTATCAAGTTGGTGGAAGAAGCCGAATCCAAATCCAATTCAATTTCAATCGGAGAAGAGAATAAGGATTTGTTTCATGGCGACTTCAAAGCTTCAAGCCTTTTGGAATCACCCAGCCGGACCCAAAACCAGTCAGTTACTTAGCTTTTTTTCGTTTTTTTTTCTTTTCATATCCCTTTGTGTTTTTGTTTGTGAATTCATTGTTTTCTGATCTTTTATATATAGCAGCTATTTGATGTAGAACCCTCAATAGGGATTAGTGATTTATTTGATGGTCAATGTTTAATTTCTTATTACTGATTTATTACAAGGTCAATGCTTAATGTGGATTTTGATTGTTCTGTAAAAAAGGGGTGATTTTTTAGGGTGAATGGATGCAAAATGTTTTATTAGAAATTGGGGATTTGTTTATTAGTTTCAGTTCTTATTTCATTTTATTTCAGTGTTTTGGTTGTTATGTTTATTGTGATGTCTTGCAGTATCTTGATTTTGGATAATATATGGTCTGAACACGTGTTAAGTGGGGGACAATCTTCACTCTATAAATCAGTTTTTGTAAGAGTATAAATTAGGCCTAACCACAATTCTTAATATGGATATTATGGGATGATACAAAGGTTGATCTGAGGCTGCATAGTATGTCTAGTCAACACCTTCACTGTGGCATCCACACAGTCACAGGGGATTTTCTTTTCTGGCTTACTGCAATATATGCCTTAAACCAACTGGACATGAGAAGAATTCTTTGGAGAAAGCTGGAAAATATCCACTCTGCCCAAGCTGGCCCTTGGTGTGTCATAGGGGACTTCAATAATGTGGTTACAGCTAGGGATAGAATTGGTGGAAAAATGGTGAGTGATTATGAATTTGCTGATATTGCAAACATGATGAGAATTACTGAACTGTATGAAATGGATAGTGTGGGGGACCACTTCACCTGGTCAAATAAGCATGTTACAGGTACTATATTTTCTAGGATTGATAGGGAAATCTGCAACACTGAATGGTTCCAGCTGTTCCCTGAGCATGTGCTGAGTGTTATGCCTCCAAATGTTTCTGACCACTCCCTGCTCTTTATCAGTGGGCCTACTGAGGATAAAAGAAGGAATCATTTTAAATTCAACAACTACCTCATTGATATCAGTGGATTCAAAGAAATGGTCAAGGTTTCCTGGGATAAACCAGCCTGTGGGGACCCTATGCAGATTCTATGGTACATGCTCCAAAGGCTAAAGGAAGATATCAAGAACTTTAGTAAGCAGACTGACAACTTAAAGCAGAGGCTGCTGGAAGCAAGGGAGAAGTTACATAAGGCCCAAAATGAACTCCAAAATAACAGGCAGGATGGAATTCTGATAGAGCAGATCAAAACCCTTACTGAAGACATCATCAATCTGCATGATCATGAGGAGAATAGGTTGATTCAAAGGGCGAAAATTGACTGGATAAAAAAGGGAGATGGCAATAACAAATTCTACTTCTCACATATCAAAGCAAGACAGAAAAGGAATTATATCAAATTCCTGCAGAATGATAAGGGGGATGTCATTACAGGGAAAAACAACATTGAAAATGAGGTTATGACCTATTACCTCCATCTGCTGGGAGAGACCCCTAACCAAACCAAGCATATTAATGTGGAAGCTATGAGAATGGGCAGGCAGATTCTGACTGATCAAAAGAGTAACCTTGTCAACTGTGCCTCTGTCCAGGAGATTGAAGATGCTTTAAAGAGTATTGGTGACAACAAATCCCCAGGCCCTGATGGATTTACTGCAAAGTTCTTCAAAAGCTTTTGGGAAATTCTGCAGAAGGATGTGATTACAGCAGTCGAGGAATTTTTCAGAACTGGTAATATCCTCAGTAACTTTAACAGGACTCTAGTAACCCTTATCCCTAAAGGAGACAGTGCTATTGGCATCAAGGAATACAGGCCTATTTCTGGGTGCAATGTTTTTCTTAAAATTATCTCGAAGATCCTTACAACAAGATCAAAGAAGGTCTTGCCTTCAGTTATTAACAAGAATCAGGCAGCCTTTGTCTCAGGCCAAGACATTCACAACCACATCCACTTAGCTTATGAATTTGTCAAAGGTTATGATCGGAAACATGGTACGCCAAGGTGCATGCTGCAAATCGACCTTCAAAAGGCTTATGACATGGTTGAATGGGGTGCTCTAGATAGTATTATGAGGGAACTGGGATTACCTACCAGATTTGTCCAATGGGTCTTCACTCTGATTTCAACAGTATCCTATACCTTCAATATCAACGGTAACCTTTCGAATATTCTGCAGGCTAAGCGAGGTATTAGGCAGGGGGACCCATTGTCCCCGCTTTTGTTTGTGCTTATGATTGAGTACCTAGATAGGTGCTTGGTGAAAATGCAAAGAAATCCGGATTTTAATCATCACGCAAAATGTGAGCAGATGGCGCTGACCAACCTGGCTTTTGCAGACGACATCCTCCTTTTCTGCAGAGGGGATGCTGGGTCTGTGGACATTCTTATGACTGCTTTTAGGAATTCCCCCCTCTCTACTGGCCTTATTTTCAACCCTCGCAAATGTAACATTTTCTTTGGCAGTGTGGAGTTGACAGAGAGAAACAATATCAGGACAAGAGTTGGGTTTGCAGAAGGAAGCTTCCCTTTCCGCTACTTAGGGGTTCCACTCAGCAGCAAGAAGCTCAGTTTGCAGCATTACCTCCCCCTAATTGCGAAAATTACTAGGCGTATCCACCACTGGTCTACCAATCTGCTCAGCTATGCCGGACGTATTCAACTTGTTAACAACATTATATGCTCTATTACACAGTTCTGGATGTATAATTTCCCCCTTCCGAAGTGCGTGCTCAGGAAAATTGACACTATTTGCAGGACATTTGTTTGGACTGGTAGGAATGATGCTAGCCATAAAAGTTATGTTGCTTGGAAGAGTATGTGTAAACCAAGGAAGCAAGGAGGCTTAGGTATCAAGAACCTAACGGTTTGGAATCAAGTTGCCTTACTTAAGTGCCTTTGGAATATTAGTAATAAGAGTGACAGTCTGTGGGTCAAATGGATACATAAAGTGTATATGAAAAATTGTGATGTAATGGAAGTTTCTGTGGGGACCAGTTGGACGTGGAACATTAGGAGCATTTTGAACCTTAGAAGCAAGGTCACTCAAATTCAACACCTTTGGGACCAAATGCTTCTCCATCAGAAATTTTCAATGAAAGCAGTTTATAACGCACTTATTGATGACTTGAGTAGAAGTACTTGGAGTAAGCTCCTTCTACATAACCACGCTAGACCGAAAGCCAAGTTTACTGCCTGGTTGTTGTGTCATGGGAAGCTCCCAACTAAGGATAGGTTGGTGAGGTTTGGTATAGTTCAAGATAGCTTGTGTAGTTTGTGTGAAAAGGAGGAAGAAAGTGCGAACCATCTTTTCTTTAGCTGTTCCAAAACTATTACTGCTTGGATGGCAACTTTAAATTGGTTGGGGGTAAGCCACAAACCTCTTCTCTGGGAGGATGAGCTGAAGTGGATTCTGGCTAGTACTAAAGGTAAGGGCTGGCGGACAACAGTGCTCAAAACGGCGTTTACAGAAACAATTCATGAAACTTGGCTGCTTAGGAATGCTTCTATTTTTGATAACACTACTTTTAACAACAATACGGTAGAAAGAATTATTGATTGTATAGTGTATAGATGCTGGGGAAATAGGAAGATTAGGCCTAATATTGCTAGATTAATGTGCTAGCATTTTTTGTAGGATTAGATGGCTGAACCTGAAGAGGTTGCCTTGATTGTATTGTTCCCTTTTGAATTAATATATCAGTTTTGGTTCAAAAAAAAAAGCCTATGATGCATAGGTAAGGGTACAGTACCGGTACGGGATACATCATTTTTTTAAAAATGTACTGGTGTGTGGATAAAAAGTAAGAGTTTTCTATAAAATGTATGAGTAGATAACTAAATTGTTAGGTTTACAACAAAACATCACTATAAAAGATTAAAAATAAAAAATAATGTTAAGATATAATAACGAAGAAGTTAAAATACATAAATATACTCTTGATATTTAAGAAAACAAAAAATTTCACTCGAAATTGGATAATGAGAAAAAAATGAAGTGCCCCGAGTAATGTACGTGGACCTGGTACCGGTACTTTACTATATTAGAAGTACCCATGCTTCAGAGGTAAGAGCGAAGATTTAAGATCCGATGGACCACTTAATATCAAGTTTCTATTATCGGGCCATCCACCATTTATTTCCACCCTCCAAGTGTTCATTCTTGAGCTTGGAGTGTGTTAAGAGTCCCACATCAGACCATATATGACTTGAACATGTGTTTATAAGTGAAGGTATTCTCATCTCACAAGCCAGTTTTATAGAGATGAGTTATGTCTAACCATAATTCTTAGCATTGATGCTTCATGAAACATGGACGGACTATTCATACTATCAAATATTTAGAATAGGAAAATTGTTGCACCTATGGTGATTGAAGGTAGCATAATTTAGCCCTTTTTGTAGATAATAAAAGATAACGAAGATTTATGTATTATGGACACACATCTGTGTGGTGTATAAACACCCTCTGGTCACTCTTATAAGCAAAATTGACTTTTTTTAGTTTATTCATTGACGTATCTTATGTGTCTTGTCTATATGTAAGACCATGCATCAATTGTTCAAAAAAGTCAACTTTGCTTATAATAGTGACAAAAGAGAGTATGTGTGTATCAATTGCTCTTATTAATTAGTACCAATACTGTCTCTTTTTTTTTCTTTCAGTTACCAATGTTGTTTTCAAGTGTTAATGTTGTTATTGTTGACATGTATTGATGCATAAGTTGACCATTTTTTTTGTGCAGTTCACTTCTGGGCCCCTACATTTAAGTGGGGTATCAGCATTGCCAATATTGCTGATTTTTCAAAACCACCTGAGAAGATTTCATATCCTCAGCAAATAGGTATGCGCGTGCATAATTAACTGCATTTTGTGTTATCTATTGCAGACTTCTCTCTGTCACACTCTCGCCCTCGTGTGTTTACTCATCATTCACCCTTGTGAAAATGTGTATTTTTGGATTCTCTGAAAGGAGTTGCCGTGTGCAAGTGAATGAATTCACGGAATGCTAAGTATTCTAGTTGCAAGCAGTTCTTAGCATATATTGTTGTGTATTGGGTTTTATTTACATCTATGCATCGCTGATTCCTTTTGTTTTTAACACAGCTGTCATGGCTACTGGAGTTATCTGGTCGCGTTACAGCACTGTAATCACTCCAGTAAGTTTTTTCTCTCTCTCTAAGATGGATTACTTTTGACTAATTCATGAAAAATTGAAAATTTAGTGGACTGAGGATCATTTATGAACCTTTAATGCACAACAGGAATCATTAATGCACACCAGGATCATTATATGAACCTTTCACTTCACTACCTTCATCACTATATGTCATGTGTGTATGATTCTGGTTCGTAATTGCATTTTCTCTTGCAAGAGTATGACATACCTAACTTGTAAATTTTGTAACATCAGTTTGACTGTAACATGGTATGCAGAATCTATAAAGACTACTTGCATTCCTGTTTTTTTGTTGCCTAGTTAAATCATGCAAAAATAATACCGTTTTCTTTGGAATTTGTCGCTTTCTCCATAATCTTTGGTTTCTTCTAGACTTTAAATCTTACTGTTGTCTACTTTATCAAAAAATTTATCGTATACCAATCACTCTACTTCTCTGAATGTATGCGTGTGTCAGCCAAGAAAATAAAACTTTATGCTATGCTTAATATTAAACATAGGGTTCACTATAATTTAATATCTGTTTACTCAAAGTTTATAGTGATAATGGCTGGAAAATTAAGAGTAGGAAAATTGAGAACTACTACATATATTAGTTTCTGAATATTATTAGGAGCGTAAATTTCTTTTAGCTTCTATGTGCAATACAATTTTCCGTAATCCTGATATGTTTGTGGCAAATACTTTGGATGTTGCAGAAAAATTGGAACCTTTTTAGTGTAAATGTTGCAATGGCAGGAACCGGCATATACCAACTCTCACGCAAATTGCGGTAAGTGATATTTATCAGTATTTATGTGAAGTTTCTGCGAGATTGCAATTTTGCTACATTGATATATTTGATGTTGTTGCAAAGATTGATTTTGGTACTGTTTGGTGTCTTCATGCTGAAACAATATTAACTCGTGATCTACTGCCTCTCAGGCAAGATTATTTCCCAAAGGACGAGGCTGTAGCAAAAGAATGATGACGAAGAAAGTGAAATGACAGAATTTGAAAATAAGTTATTGGAGTTTGATGCCCTAATTGCAATTTTCACGTTGAACGTTTATCTGAATTATAATTTTTCAGAAGTGTGGCTCATTTTGTAGTTGGCAAAGGCATAATTCTGTGTGTATTTTTCATATGGTACTTGAATCTTGTAGAATTAGGGACTCAAGATAAGTAGGAAATCTCAACACCACATGCTCCTATTTTATCCATCTTTATATTTGTTATGTTCACACATTGTATTATGCACTATATTCAGTTGATCTATAACAACTCTCTTATCACTTTGAAGGGCTCCACCTTAGTGACAGCATCCCATGCTTCTTGCTCCTGAATTTGCAGATTCATGTTTATCATTACCATTGAATCCATCCATACTGTGTCATGCCGAGCCATTACAAATAATACCACATTCGTAGTTGCCACCTTCATCCCCTACATTAATCACTCTTAAAATAGTTGTTCCACTATCATCAATATTTTCCCCTATTTTTCCACCAATAGGTCCTTTATTTTATTTTGATGTATTAGGAGTTATTTTATACAATTATGTCTTCTAGAATATTCTTATAGTAACATTATATAATATAGTGTCTTTGAGACACTTGGGATATGAATGTAATCAATGAATTTTTTATTTTATCTTTTTTCTATCTAGTTTTTTAGTGTAGAAGTGTAACATTGGTGCTTTCATCTTGAGCTTCAATCTTTCCTTTCATAGCACATCTTCCTATGAATTATCCTTATCATACACCTTCATATCATTTATGGAGCATTATTTCAACCTATTCCACAAACCCCTCTATTACATTTCCTATCAATCCCTCATTTTCATCTTTTTCATGGAAAATTTTCTCTTCTTATTCCACAAATCCACATGTTACAACTCTATATTTATATTTTAATTATGGGTATACACCACCTCCACCTATTCATCATCTCATTATTCATCCTACTGCAATAATTATCATCAACAACTACAACCACTAAAAATCTCCTCCATAATTAGAAGAGATTTTGAGAAACATTTGCAAGTGTCTCATCTTTGTTTCAAAAATTCATCAAAAATACTCCTAAAAAAATTCCCAAATCTCTTCATTCTCTCAAAACCCTCGCGCACAATCTACCCTATCCCTAACACCATGGACACATATGGCTTATCCCAAATCTGCAACGACTTCTGAGCCATTGAAGAAAACGAAGAAACAAAATCAAATTCTCGAAATCAATCTTCTTCACCTTCTCGGAACACACATCCAGGGTTTTGAAATCAAACCCAAATCCTAATCATGGCGTCGAATGACGAAGAGATTATGAAGACGCAAGACGAGCGACAAAACCTGCAACAACAACTCGTATCTCTCACTTAAGTCAACTTCGACACAGATCTTGTTCTGGACTGGGCCGAGCTGGCCCAAAAGCAATGGCGAAGGCCCAATCCAAACGGCCTTGCAAGGGGTCACGCCGACCAAGAGGCCACATCCGTGCCCGACGCTCTTTGCCAGTGCGATATCCTCGACTTCATGCTGTCCTGCCCGACCCCAGCTCGAGCACTCCTCCTAGGGCAGACTCTGTCCACTACACCATCACGTAGATCCCGAAAAGACCGCGTCCTCGTCCGTCCGTACTTCACGCAGAACATCCAGGATGGAGACCAAGTGCGGGTCCCCACTACACACGTAGAACCTGGCAGTTCCTCCATTGGGCCAAACCTGCCCGGCCCAATGAAGGGACTTTGGCCCAGCGCTGGGGGCTATAAATACTCTCTGTTCCCAGAGGGTTAGGTATTCATTCTTTTACCCATACTCACACTTTTGCTTGCTCGTACTCTCACTTACTTCAGCATCGGAGTGCCTTGCAGGTACCTCCCCCCCCATCTCGTTCAAAACTTCAGCTCGGAGCCAGCCGTGATGGTCCAAGTCTGATCAGGTTAGATCAGTGGCGCCGTCTGTGGGAAACTAGCTTCCCCGTCTTGCAAAACTCAAAGACCAAAGCTCAGCTCAACTACCGTTGTCATGGCTGATCAAGCTCGCGATGAACAAAACGTCCGCGTCGTCGACACCAACAACGGCCCCGCGGACAAAAACGGACACCTTGACAACGCCGGCAACCCCGGTCACAACACCATCCCTGCGTCAACTGTCCCCGGACCTTCAACCTACCGCGACGGAGCTACTGCGTCGTCTTCCTCGGTCCCTCCGCCACTCGAAGAAGACGAGGCAGCTCTCGCGAACTACCGGGCTGCCCGGTTCCAGGAAGTCCCCGTCCCCGCCGGGGCGGATGCCACAACTCAAGCGTTGTTCGCAGCAATCAATCAAATAAATTACCTCATCTTCGCCCAAGGGGAAAGACTAAGGGCGCTTGAAGACGACCGAAGACCCCCGAGGAGGCATCGGAGGCCCCATACTCCACCTCCTCGAGTGACTGAAGTCCAACTCCCCTCTCCCCCGCGGAGACATTACAGAGAAACCTCTCGAAGTCAATCACCCCGACCATCAGGGAAACGGCCCCCTTTGGAGAGGCAGCCCATCATCCAAGCCGGAGGACGTGGTCGCGACCCAGCGAGACAGGAAAGAAGGCACTCCGGAGATGGGCGTGTAAGAATTAACCAACGAGCATCACGCTCGAGAGAGACCCAGCACAACCAGGACCGTCGTGCCCGACAGTATTATAGGTCCCCATCTCTGTCTCCGGAGAGGAGCGACGAGGACGACCCCCGTGGTCCCCTATCGCAAGCTATCATGGAAGCGCCCATTCCCCCGAGCATGGAGAAACCCCCGCACTTGAAGGAGTACGATGGAGTCGCAGACCCGATCGACCACATAGACGGGTTCGAGGCTATGTTGCATTACCACAATGTCGGGGGCCCATCAAATGCCGACTATTCCCCACGACTCTCAGGAAGGCGGCAATGGACTGGTACAAAGGCCTCGCCCCGGGCTCAATCACCTCGTGGCGAAACCTGAAAAACTAGTTCATCAGTTCATTCACTGCTTCTCGGCGTCATCCAAAGACCGAGGCGGCTCTCGAGGCCATCATCCAAAGACAGGATGAAACCTTGAGGGAGTTCATCAATCGCTTCAACCAGGAAGCTATACAGGTCCCCTGCGCGGACCATATGAAGAGATATCTGTTGGAGAGGGGGCTCCTCCCCGGCACGGAATTCAGAAAAGCCGTGGGCATCGAGCCACCCAGGACATTCGACGCCCTCCTCGAAAAAGCTCAGGAATACATGGACTACGAGGAGAGGGAAGCGGCCAACAGAGCCCGAGACCCCAGGACTCGCGGGTCCAACAACAACTCGCGCCAGGAAGCTCCTCTTTCTCGATGAACCGGGGAGAAAAGAAAAGAAGACAGACCCCGAGAAGTCTGAGAACAAAGGGGACCCTCGAGGCGTTTCACCAAGTACACTCCGCTCACAGCTTCCCGCGAGCGCATTCTGGCGGAGTGTGCCAGCACTGACTTCAAGGACGGCGGTGTCAAACGTCCCCGACCTGCTCCCGCCAAGCCCGGAGCAGACAAGAACAAATATTGTCAGTACCATAGGAGCCATGGTCATCTGACTGAGGATTGTGTCCACCTCAAGGACGCCATCGAAACCCTTATCAAGGGAGGGAGGCTCGCACAATACCGGCGAAGCGACGCTCCCCGTCGTGACGGCCAGGAGACAAGGGAACCGGAGGAGGATGCCCGACCATCTGACGAGTCGGTCCTCATCCAGACCGCCTTCTCCGTGACCAGGCCCGAGGACTTCGACATCCCCGAGCACCTGCAGGAGCCGCTCATAACGCACAGTAGGTGGGAATATTTCCCCTCCGCCATGGTCATCAACGGCGGCGGATTCAATGACCTGACCATTAATTCGGCTAAGAGGAAGCTGGACGAGCTGGTCGACGCGGCGCCCCCGCAAACAGTGACGTTCGAAAGGGTGAAGGGCAGGTCATAACCCATCACCTTCTACCTAGAAGAGCTCCCCGGCGGAGCCCCAAACGCGGTCATCCCCTTACTGATAAGGGCAAGAATGGCCAATTTTGATGTGCATCGCATCCTCGTCGACGAAGGAAGTTCCGTCGACGTGATGTACAACCAACTGTTCCGAACTCTACAGTTGGACGACTCACATCTCTCGTCGTATGTGGGGTCGGACTTACAAGGTTTCAACGGCTCGACCTCCAAGCCTTGGAGGTATGTCGAGCTCCTGGTTACATTCGGCAAGGGAACAGCGACAAGACAGGTCAAAGTACGCTTCCTCGTCATCGTCTGCCCGTCTCTGTACAACTGCATCTTGGGGAGACCAACACTGGCAGAACTGACAGCGGTGCCCTCGACCGTCCACCTGAAGATGAAATTCTACACCAAAAAAGCACGGGTAGCTACTATCCAAGGAGACCTGGCCGCTGCTCAGAGGTGTTTCAACGCCGCATCTAAGGGATGCGACACTGTCGACGTAGGGACAAGGCCCGCCAAAAAGACACGACAGGAGCCCGAGTCCATCAAGGAAGAAGCCCAGAAAGCTCCACCAAAGGTCGACTCTATAGCTCTGGACACTCGTTTCGACCAGAACGAACCTCTCAACGGCGAGCAAATCCCACTCCGACCAATACCGGACGGGGATTTTGAGCTCGTCCCCCTCGGCACAGACCCGACCAAAGGAATGAAGATTGGCAAAGATCTCCCCGACTTGGCAAGGAAGCAAATCAAGGCCTGCTTGCGCGAGAATGCTGACCTGTTCGCCTGGAGCGCCGCGGAGATGCCCAGACTCGACCCTGAGGTCGCCTGTCACCACCTCGCCATAGATCCTGCCGCTAGGGCCGTAGTACAACGTAGACGTAGGCAGTCTCCAGAAAAAACGGAGGCTGCTGAAAAAGCTGTAAAAGACCTCCTAGAGGCAAATTTTATTTCTGAAGCCCGGTATTTCACCTGGCTGTCAAACGTTGTACTTGTTAAAAAGAATAATGGAAAATGGAGGATGTGTGT